TGTTGTTTTAAGGAGCTAAAAATGAAGAAAACGTGGGAGGTTTTGGCGAATTTGATAAACAATTTTAAAGTCATTGTTTGGGTTTGTTGAATGATGGAAGTCAATCAAATGTCCCAACATAGAACTTCCAACAGACTTTCTTTCATCTTTATAAAACCAAGCTGGAACATGTTCTTGTATACGTGCAGAAAGCATTATCTGGCTACGGCCGATTTACCTTGCTCCACATGAGAAGGTGAACTGGTAGATGCACATAGAGGCGGGCAAACGCGGAAGCTTATCTTTAATGCAAACGGAGAATAGTTTACAGCTTGTAACAGTCAATTAAAGTCTTGCTGCGAAATTCCTATTGATTGACTTGCATAGACGATTCTTGAGTACATCTGATGCTTGGTCACCCTTAAACTCTAGACTCATAAACAATCTTTTCTTTGAAACCTAGGGATGACCGGTTTGGTATTTCTTTCTCGCATATTTTTATCAATAAAATGGGTAACCGTTTTCAACAAGTATGCTTTTTAAAAATGATAGCTCTCTATCAATGCGATCTTCACTACAAATATTTCTTATTCGATAGCAGAGAAAATGAATGAGATTTCTTTTTCTTTCAACAGATCCCCAACTTTAGAAATTGGTTAGCTGTCCATTCCACGTTGCTTTTCTGTGAATAGATCTTTTAAGGAGTTCATTCTTACGTCTGATGAAAAGCATATCAAGAAAAGGAATAATTGTTTCTATCATAATCACAAATACCCATAGTCATCCATTTTACAGTTGTTATCATTGTCATATAGTGTTTAGTTTTCCTCATGGGATATAATTTTTCATATATATATATATATATATATATATATATATATATATATATATATATACACGAATGTACAGCTTGAAAATGAATTCGTTGAAAAGAGTCTCTTCTCTGAATATCTTGTTCGTTATGTTACAATGGGAATTGTTAAATTATTGAATTTGTACCCTGTGAAGTTGAACACCGTGGTAGCTGTACGCGGATAGTCAATCTTATTTACAGCTTGTGTGAAATAGAATGAAACGTAGGTCGGAATATAATTTCGCTGGGAATAGTTCATGGCGATGCAGTCTCACTCTTTGAATGGTGCAACTTAATTGATCTTCCATAATCATATTTTGATAAGGGTACATCAGTGTTCATTGGTTTTCCTCGAATTACTATATTTGTGACAGTGGTGGGATATCCAACTATAGTGTACTGCGAGGACGTGAAATATAACCGTTACATATGTTTATTTTGACCGGTGCAGAAAACTGAGTCCTTATGGCTGCAGACTTAGAATTGATCACAGTAGTTCGGGCTGTCAACACATTATCTTCATTTAAATCATATTCGCCTGCCTCTATTGGCGTTCACCTCTTAAGATAACATAATATTCATTTCTTTGCGTTCTGTCGCTTCGATTTCTTCCTGAACTTACTGATTAGAGACATCCCCTTTCGCGATGAAGCGGTACTAGGTCACATACTGCTGATGCCTACAATAACTGTCCATAACCATATCCAGGTAACCACACAACTATATAACATCGTTTTACAACTGCTTATTCATTTCAAGGTTAGTACTAGGGTCAATTGTAGGGACATTGAAAACCTAGAAATATTGGATAGCCATTTTCTCTTAGTATGAGTCTCTTCAACAGTGCGCAATCACAGCCCCGTGAAGTACCGTGCTTATTCTTTTGTCTTTATTGGTAATCGAATTTCTAAAGCGTATTTTCTTTACCATATGTACAAACATTGATACGGGGGGGGGATGATTATTAAAATACTTTAAGGGGACTCTATAGATAGTGATTATTGGTTGTAAAAGTAAGGCTTTTTGTTATATCTCACCAATATTTCATTTGCGATCTCATAGTCATGTTGTTTAAAAGTTATCATCTCCTAAGTTATTAGGTTTATGTTTTTTATCCTAGTTGTTTTCATCGGTTTCAACTCTCCATTTGCTCGTTTATTTTCTTGAAGCATTTATTGTCTTTGACGTGTTACTGTCTGACTATAGAGAATACAATTTTAACTCTACTTATTATTACTGTTTATTGATATACTTGTAATTCTCCCTTGGTTCATTGGATCAAATTGTTCGACCTGTGTTGGCATATTGGCTCCTATGAGGATGTCTGGATATTGCCTGAATGTTAATTTGGTTAGTTGTGGCTGGGAGAGGAATCGAGGGCGTGTGTTTCATCCTATTTGGAACTTGTCAGCTGGATGTACCTGTATTCCAGTGGCTATTGTGCCTCCATGACAGTGGATAATGCCTTGGCATTTGAGGCTATGAGTACAAGGTTCAAGTCTCAGTGAGGACGGCATCACTCCCTGGGGTGCAGGCACATGCAGCTGACTAGTCCTAAACAGGACGAAGCGTGCGTCCTGGGTTCCTCTATTTATAATTATTTGAGTCTGTAATCGTTTATGCAATCTACCAATTAGTTGATGTATGTTGCAGAGGGCTCATATGTCGTTAGTCAGTCTAAAACATCATTGAATTTGTCGTACATATATATATATATATATATATATATATATATATATATATATATATGCGGAGTGCAATTTATTAATTGGTTGGTGGGATCCTCTGGACCTAGTTTTCGTAGTTGTTGGCACTCGTCAGCAATGTGTATCTCCAACCTCTTAAGAAACGATGTCCCCTGTACAGCTTTTTTCTCCTCATGAAAACTGTTTCTTCCATACGGATTGTTTGATCTTCTAAATATCAACATTTTGACTTTTGTATTGAAAACAGTTGTTACATTTTTAGTTTGTTTTAACTTCTCTATCGCATGGTTACACATTGATATTTTAAAGCATAGATAATGTAACATATAGTTGTAAAGTTTTGACTAAGAAGAGCTTATCTTCCGATTATCAAACTCACTTTTTATCATATTATGGTTTAAAGATCAATCAATGGAAAAACAATAGGAATTCATCTAGCTGTGTTGAATTTGCATATGTCTGAGATGAACTTGTTGGCAAACTGGGGTCATGAAGAGCAAAGAGTTCATATGTCTCCTACTTGTAGGTTAAAGTCAAATTAAGACCTAGTTAGGAGTTCGGTCGCTTAACCTAATCACTAGGGGATAGGGTCAGTAACGTGATGACTGCTGTTTTATAATATCTTATCACCAGTTAAGTTTTCAGCAAACTTTAATCTCTTTCCTCAAAGGAATATCTGATGTAGTTGAATCAATATCAATTTTTGATTGATTACTAGCCAAATAATGATTCATTCATAAGCTAAAATATATGATTTAGTGCTATTTGCTCACGAGAATGAAACTACTAACTCACTAGGTTCAAGTTAGAACCGTCATAAAAATCCAAGTGAATAAAAAGAATCAAATGACTGACAACATGACCACATTCCATGTGTGTTGTTTTTCAAAATGTAATTCAGCTTACAATTGTATAAAAAGATATCATCTCCTTCATTGGAAATTGTTTGTCAAGGTCAAGGTTATCATTTAACCAATCGGTTTTCGGTCCTGATTGGAAAAGTTAAAAAATTTTTGTCTTTATGTTAGCTTCAAAATCATGACAAATTCGCTCCGTACGACAATGAAAATAAGAGTAACTTGAAAGGCCAACCTAGCAAAAACTAAAGTAGCCGGTTAAACTTCTGTATTTTATGAAAATATGCCTTCCCAGCCAAAATGAAGAAACCTGATTAGTTATTTTACTTGTTGCCAGGTCTTGCCTTTAAAGTCATCTGAAAATAACGTACATAATACTCTTCATCTTAAATGTATCAAAAATAACATTATACTACTGATTATAGTTTTTATTCTTTCGAACGTCTGAGTTAACTTTACATTCATTGATGGTAATATTGAATCTAACAACAGAATATTTCAGAATATAAGTGGATATGGTTAAAGAAGTTTCTACATTGTCACTCTGTAGACTGAGCTAAACGGTGTAACTCAATTTTTATATTATATGGTAATTTTCCTATTGAAATATTCATTTACACAATTTATTTCGTTTCCTGTTCTTCGTCTACCTCATTTTACTCTTCATACGCCCACGTTTTCGCTTACTTTTCTCTGGGCAGAATATTTACTCATTGCTCGTAATTGCCTATGACTTCTGCTCACCTCTCACTACATACTACTTATATCCATTCTAATCAGTAACATCTACTACAATCTTAATTCATACTGATCAGTCACTTCGGATGAAATTTCCTGTCAAATGGACGGAATCAGATATCCTTAAGGAAACCTTTTAATTGGATGTTTGCAAATGTGTTATGTCACAAATGCTTGTAATTTGTACATCTTAATGGTTGCTAACGCATTCCGTTGCAATAAAATCTAGGATGTTTGACAAACGATTCCTCATACCATCTTATCACTAATCCATGCTTTTGTAATTCAGTTGAATTTTGACTGAAATGAATTTAGTTCTGCTGAGGTACCAGTAGTATGATAAGAAAAAAAAACTGCTTACTATCATTCATTCACCAAAACTCTTAGTGAATAGATTGTAGTCAAGACGTAGTCAGCAATTGGATTGTGTAAGTCCAATGTATAGAGGTGTAATCTGAATGTTTCTGTTTTGGATCGTTATGCTACTCAAGTGGTTTTTATCAGCTTCAATCACTAACTCGATTAGACACGAAAAAACTTAATGGTACCATTGCTGACTATAGATAGCACTGGTTGATATTAATTCATATCTCTTAAGGTGAATATCAACTTCCTGGAGGTCACAAATATGCCTTATTTGCATATCCCATTGACTCTGACTTCCTACTGATTGGCTTCATTCCATTGTGAGGCACAAAATAACTTTCATCCTCTCAATTTTCAATACCCTTTTCGCATTGCTGCTTCACTACGAAGTTTGTATTTCAATTCATTAATCTACAATGTTTCTGTTTGTTGGCATTCCCTTACATTTAGAAATATACTGTCAATTTAGCTAAATCTGTTTTTTTCTTTTTTATTTGTTAGATGCCTATAATGAAATATATATAAACAATGATGTCTCGACGAACACCAACAATAACAGCAATAAACAGAAAGATCAAGTTGATTTAAATCCTACAGCTAATAATTCGCAAAAAAATTCCTTACAAAGACAGAATTCTTCAAACAGTGTTTACTATAATGTATGGGAATCGGAGGATGGTTCTAAAGGTTTGTAGTTTAGAAGATAAATTCTTTATTTCTGCGTCCTTGATTATTTTATTGCATATTCACCTGTGTAAATAATACCAGTAATAATGATAATAATAATAATGGTAATGATAATAATCGCTTAATTCCAAACAACTTGTATAACAGTATGGAATTTTTCAACAAGTTCAATCCCAGAACAATACTTTCAGACGAAACGGTTATTTCATCGGAATGATGTTAATAATAACAGCATTCAAGTCAATAATGTGAAATAGCCATGTGGTTCTGGGTTGACATCCGGTCTACAATGAAGAATCAATAGAAATGCAAGCGTAATTTTGATGGTGGTGGTGGTTCATTGAAAAGGTTCAAAAATCTGAAACTCAAGCTAAAGTACCTGACAGATGGAAATATGATATACTTTTGTGGACCGAAAAGTCCGTTTCCACATGACGTAACATATTTCCTCTGCTTTGTTATTGACTCAAGAAATGAAGAGTTGAAAACAGTTTCAAAGTGTGCAAGAGTACAAGATACTTTCAAAGGACATATTTGAATGATTAAAACAAATTGAAGGGAAAGAATTTAATGAAAAATGTTCAGTGGATAAAGTTGGTAAATTTGGCAGGCCGCCATTTTGTTGTGGTCTGTTTAACATTGGATTGTTAGAAACAGTTGTAAGTGTTTACAGGTCAGTATTTGAAAGCTCTTGGGTTAAAGTTTATCGTGTTTGTCTTGGAATCGGCTTGGTCTTTTGAACGCTTCTTGGTAATTTTTTGATTTTGCGTCATCAATTCTAAAAAAATCAATTAGTCGCCAATATGCGAAAATACGCGGTTTATCTGAGTGGGTTATCTCAATTATGTAGTATATCGTTAGCAAATAAGTATCATTCAACCACCTTTAGTCAATTGATCAACGAGAAGGCAGAGTGACATTCATTTTTTAGATATATTGAATTAGCAGGTTATAAGACATCTCTTTACTTTCCAAGTCAAGAAAGGCAATATCAGTAAACCTGAGATTAAGAGGGTTCAATGACTGTTGGCTGGTACGATGAAAAATGTAGATAACTCTTCCTACACCCCTTGAGGAAAATATATTCGGCGCTGAACCTTATCTTCTCGTATCGTTTCTTTCATACTGAAGTCTACACTAGTAAACCCCAATACAACTTCACAATGTTATCTACCTATTCCTCTCATAACAAGGATCACTTTCAATTTGAGGTTTGCTGGGATTTATTGATTTCACGTTGGTATTCGTTATGGACTAACATCAGTTGGAGAAACACTAAAAACCCGGGAGCACTACATAGCTGTTTCGTCGTAGTGTGGGAGTTCTCAGCAGTGCTAGCCCATCACCCCGCCAGGGGTCTAGCCCAGGACTTTCAGATTCCGTGGCCAGTATGTTACCATTGAGCCACTGGACTGGAACTCAGTGGTCCATATTTTCTACTTCCATCAGTCCGCGATATAGAGCGACCTCCATCCAATGTCGTCTTTGAGTTACTGTCGCTATGTTCGACTTGGTTGTGCTCATTGCTGACTAGCTTTGAGAGGTGGTTTTGAAAGTTCTAGTGGGGCCAACCAAGTCGAACATGAGAACAGTCACTCAATGGCGGCATTGAATGAAGGTCACGCTGCATTGTGAATTGATGGAAGTTGGAAATATGGACCATTAGATTCCAATCCAGTGGCTCAATGGTAACGTGCTGGTCACGGGAGTCGGCCTTGGGTTCGATCCCTGATGAGGAGGGTTGATGAGTGAGGACTGCTGAGGAGTCCCATAGGAGGACCGAACACTTGTCCAAGGATCGCCTTGCTTATATATTAAGACTCTCTCCATTTACGGTAAGCTATTTTACCAAACGCCTTGCTCAGCTCTAGGATCTTCCATCCTGCATCACTTGACGAAGCGTGGCTGTCGTGCAAACTTGGTATCTTCATTTCTGAAGGAACAAGGAACTGAATCTTCGGTATCACTTATACAAATAAGTGTTACATGTTCAAAGCTGAACATAATGTAATGTATCAATTTATTCAATATGTCTATTAAATAAGAGGTGAATGATTCAGAGATGTAAAGAAGATTGAACGAGTATGCGATTAAATTCGATTTGTATGACAAGAAGGAGAATATCACTTTTTGTTGATACTTGTAATACTAATACTCTTTGCAACTACCACTCATTGAGGTGGAGTTACAGCCGGCTTATGAGTCCCGAATAGGACGAAACGCACGTCCTAGATTCCACCGTTAGCCACAATCTATCATTAATATATAATTGAAATGTAGGCAATACTGAGGCACAGGAACCTATATGTCAATAGAGACCATGATATATCATGCTTAGCCAGGTAGTTCTGTTTAACACAGAACTTGTTAGATTGTATCATAATCAAAATAATTATGTAAATTTATTCTTATTGTGATTAAAATTTTCAACTTATGGTTTCAAATTTGCATGACGTGGTAGTTTTTCTATGTGTTTGATTCAAATCAGGAATTCTTAAAATCCCACTGTCTAGCTATAATAGACAAGGATATTCAAACGACCAAGTATTTTGGTGTCCAAAGATATAAATCATTTTCACTATCATTCAGTTAGTCAATAGGAAATGGAGTCGGTGTAGAAATGAATACTTTTGAGTAAAAGTGTTAATATTTGATGTCTCTAAGTAGTATTAATTTTATAAGACCATTTCAAAGCTCTTCATTTTACTTTCATAAACTTGTAGCAAAAGGAATTATAGTTTATCAAAGGCACTGTTATGGACTCAAATTTTATTTCAGTCCGATGTTGAAGATTATATATATTTTCCGCCGCCAGCCCCTACCCATCCGCCTGGTTTTTGCTATCGACCATATATGTTTATAAAATTGGAAACAAATCTTGTTACATTCATAGATTATACTGAATAAATCGTCTGGGTGATTTATTTGAATATAAAGAATAGTAATAATAACTATATACTATGTAAAAAAGATGCCTTTTAGGTTCGGTAGGTATCTGTTTAGCCTTTTTTTTCTGTGTTGGATATTCAACAGGATACCAACTTTTGATCTCAGCAATATTGTTTAGTGTGAAAGTGACAGTTGAATATCACAGGTCAAGTGTCCTATGCCAAAGTCTCATAAAATTTGGAGTGCATTATAAGATACTGCACAAGTTTATTGGAACTATTGATTCCCCTAAAATATGCTTTCAGTTCCTACTCTTATTGAGTTTTGTAGAAGAATTCTGCTAACACCAGCACTTCCTACGTAGAGATCCTATGATATATATATATATATATATATATATATATATATATATATATATATATATATATATATATATATATATATATATATCTGCTCAAGGTGTTGAAAAGACCTATTTTGTCTTCACCTACCTAGCAGGGATAATATCGTCTGCAAACTTCATGTCACTTGAATCCCTGTGGATTCTGTGAAAACCTTGAATTCCGTTTTAGCTGTCTTGCGGACATTATTTGTATCAATATCGATTTTTTCCTTATGTATTCTTATAAATTTCTGAGTGAGTTCTGTAGGTAGTGCGAGAATTTTCATTCGCACATTCAGTAAACAAACAATATGTTTGAAGAGATTTGTTTGTCAATTAACTTTCCACCGATGAACTTACATTAATATACAACATTTCCAAAATATAATTTTTTAATTACAGGTTTTAAGCGCGTTGATTGATTATCACCTCCTTGATACTTTGAGATTGATAATCTGTTATCCAACAATTATCACCACTAGACTGGCATGTTATTTTATAATATGGTATAATATTAGTGTAGAGTCATCGATGAGGAGCTAATTGAAAAATATTTCTTCGCTCATATTATTTCCTTTTCTATATTCTGTTCAGTGGTACTGTTTATTGCATATCTTTCATTGCTTTATTGAGTAGCAGAAGTTCTACCTTGGCAACAAAAATAAAGATATTTTAACGATTGTTGAACATACTTGCCATTATTTTGAAAATTTATAGTGGCAGATTTATTAACTTTAATAGAATTTAGTCGTGATGATGGGTATGGGCTAGCAATGGAATTCTAGACGCGCGTTTCGTCCTATTTGAGACTCATCAACTGCGTGTACCTGCCTTCCAGTGAGTGATTAGAAGTTACAAGCAATAACATCGGCGAAATTTGTTCATCTTGATGTTTTTTACTACATATATATTAACCTGCCCACTGCCCATCATTACTAAAACATTGAATTGTTAAAGCCATGCTGTTTATACTGAAATGTCTTAGCATTCTTTTTTCAATTGTCTTTTGTTCCATATATATACAATAATAGAAATAACATTTTTCGTTATCTGATAAATAAAATTAACTTTACTCTTCAAGTTGAAGTTGATTCAGGAATTAAACCAAAGCCAAATGTTCAAATGGCATCGAACACACGGGTTTATCGTAGAAGTCATGTATCGAGTGCATATCTACAACCGAATTCTTCGGTTCCTTCATCGTTTGGACAAAAAGCTGGTCTTTGTGTACCGATAGCGACCACATCAACAGCAACAGATGGTAAACCAATACCACCTCCACGTATGGGTGAAGTGAAACAGTTTTCATCTACATTGCCTCCTTCATTTACAAATTCAACTAATAATGTCCTTTCAGAGTTAAGGTAATTGTTTTCTGTTCATACTGAATTTTTTAATGAGTAATAGGCATAATGAAAATTGAGTTATTCGAGTGTCTTGTATTTTCTTTTGTTTAAGCGAATTTAGGCTTTTGTGGGGATTTAGAGATTCTTTTTAAAAAGTTGGTTTTCATAATGGACTGACATCAGTCAGAGGAAAATTGGAAACCTGGGAGCACTGGACAGCTGTTTCGTCTTAGTATGGGGCTCTTCAGCATGCACACCCACGACCCCTCCAGGGATCGGGCCCACGACCTTCAGGTCCCGTGACCAGCACGTCACCATTGAGCCACTTGGTCGGAATCCAATGGTCCATATTTCCAACTTCTGTCGATTCACAACACAGCGCGACTCCCACCCAGTGTTATCGTTGAGTATCTGTCCTCACTGGTCAGGACTTCTCACTGGAACTTTGGGAATCACCTGTTGAAGCTAGTCACCAATGAGCACTAGTTCAATTGAATTTGGGGGTTTGTGGAGATTTAGAGATATTTTTTTAAAATCATTTAAAAAATGAAACAAGTCAAGTAACATCTTAAATGTTTTACCCTCTGATTTGCTAACATGTATGCGTTACTTTTGTATGCCTGGATTTAAATCTAACATTTAGCGTACTCCAAGTTCATATACTTCTTAGCAGTGTAACCCTCCTTCAAGCATTTATCTTACAGTAGTCACTGAAGAGATCGTTAGTGTTACACTGTTGAGAAGTATTCAACAAAAAAATACACCATTTTACGTCGCCTACTTTCTCTTAGCTCCATAAATGATATCGCTTCTCGGTTAAAAAAAATACTGTCTTTTGATCACTGAACCTTATTGCTCCACGTTTTATCACTTTCCTTTCTTCAATTACAAGTTTGTAAAAGTCATTGGATCTACGATGCATACCCCTTGTATTTCCAAACTTTATTTCCACTGTGAAGTTATTCTCTGGGTTTCCCATCATCTTGGTTTTGAAATAGTAAGCCAGAAGAGAATGTTGTGTAGCCGAATGATTTCTAAACTAGATAAAAGGATGAAAAATGAAGTGAAAGTCATTCGGATTTGACATATACTGCTGATCAGGATGAATATAAGTAGCACATGTTGAGACGGCGGCAGAAATCATAGGGAATCACCAACAACAGGTAAGAATTCGACCCAGAGAAACGTAAGGGACATTATAAGCGTATTAAAAGCAAGTCGAGATAAAGGCAGAAGAGGAAATGAAGCACATTATGCTAATGTTTGTTTTAGTGCAAGGTACATCATATTTGAGGATTATTGTACAAGATGTCAACAATAAACATTCCTTCCTGCGTGTCAGTCTTGTCGTTTCCTACATACCTGTGACAATCACCATATTTTAAAACAGTGCTTCCAGTTATCAGAGTTGAAATTATTTCATCGACTGGTGTTCCCTAAGGATATCCATCGCTATTTTTATTCAGTCTCCTCATAAATATGTTTATGAAGGAAATATTTCCCTTCTTTTGATCTAAATTCTCTGGTCGATTTGGAGCACATAAACACTATCACTATTTTCCAGTGTAAATAATCATGAAATCTAATGCTTTCTCTACTTTCTGACTAAAAATGTGAAGGTGTTTGCCGTTTGTTTCTTATCTCACATATTAACAGTTTTTCTAGTCGACCAAATTCCGTTTTTGAATAAAAGATGGTTTGCTTAACTGTATGTAACCTACGTTTAAAGTATTTTGACTGAATGAGATTTGCGAAGACTATGGAGCAGGAAGATCTATTTTTTGACATTGACGTGAACAGGGTTGTAAGAAACGACAAAAACTAAAACGCAGGACAGAATGTTTATCATGAAATCTTGTATAGTACTGATGAAATATTTTACACTTTCCATTAAAATAGTCATTTAGGCAATGTGTTTCATTTTTTTCTTCTGCTTCTATCTCGGCTTGCTTTTAATACGCCCACATTGTCTCTTGAGTTTCTCTGGACAGAATCTTTACCTACTGCCGGTAATTCTCTATGATTTCTGTCGCCCTCTCACCAAATACTACTTATATCCATTGTGATAAGCCTGTGATTTTTAATGTATGTCCACCAACAGTGTGAACCGTTAGCACTCATGGTCTCATGTTCGGAGACTGACTCTTATCTATCAGAGAGACTGACACCCCGTATCTATTAGACACAATCTCCCGATCATTTGTTAGCATTCAAGCATACACAGCACTTCTATCTATGGCTCTTAAGACATCTACTCTAGTCAGAAAAACAGAACTCATATTATATCGCTCAAAACACTTTCTTTTTCGTCTCTCCGGACAGTTTCTTCATCAGTATCCCAGTTTTTCGCATGCAAAGCACTTACTCTGTCTGTTGATATTCATTCGAAATGCGGCCACTTCCTCCTCATCGATTTTTTTTCCAGTTGTTCATCTCTAGTGACTCCACTGCAGCTACTGCTGTACCCATTATTTGTCTGGTGACCTTGGTCAGCTCACTAATGTGCATGGGTTGGGCTGCCTTGTCTAGTCGTAGCTTCCGGTCAATGGCATTCGGGATACTTCCGGTGAACTATGCAGCCAGAAACTGTGCCTGAAAGTCCTCATCTATAGTGGGAAGTACTCGTAGAAGTAGCTTCGTCAAGTTCATAAGCAATGCCAGTGGGTCTTGGTCTATTCCGAGTTTCGTGCTCTGGAACTCCTGCATCGCTGGTTCCCTGTCCATTGAACTGTCAAACTCCACCTCCAGTCATTTAACTATTCTCTTTCAAATTTCCTTCTCATCCATGCGTTCCACGCCATTGTATGCCGCTTTCGCTCTGCTTCTCAGCAATGTGCCAAGTACGGCAACCTTCGCTCCTGATCCTGGACACCCACCAGCTCTGCGACCGACTTGAAGTTTCTGACTAAGACCTAGATGTCCCCATCCGCGAACACTACAGGCCATGGAATCCTCATCACATCCAGAAGCAGTGACACTAATAGTAAGAGACGAGAATACTGAGATACCCGAAGGAATGTTTATTATCGACATACTGTACAATAGTGAAAAGAAATTGCACTCTTCTCACTAAAACAGTCATTTGCACAATGTATTTCATATCCTCTTCTGCTTATATGCTGATTTGCTCCTAATACTCTTATATTGTCTCTTGCGTTTCTCTGAGTAGAATCTTTACCCATTCCTGGTAATTTCCTATGATTTCTGGTGTCCTCTCAACATATACTACTTAGATCCATTTTTATCAGTAGCATCCACTAAAGGGTGACTGTTAGATTAACTTGTGGGTCTTTTACCATAAATACCCTCTGAAAATTAAGCTTTTGAGTAAGTTGTGTTTCGCCTCGCCATCAATCACTGGTTAAACATTTAGTAATCTCATGATACGTCATCTAGGACAATACTGTACATCACTTGTTTACTATCTACCTCAGTGCTCTATCCTAGCTTAAGTAGAAGTAGGTTACCAGCACCCAACTCAAATCAGGTAGTAATCTATAGATTTTTTGTTCTTTATTCTGAAATGTGTAGGGTAGTCTGAACTTGCTGTTTTTTCTCCTCAGTGGTTCATTGCTTGTTCTAACTTGTTTCCTGTATATCCTTCTGTTTTCTTGACTCCTTTTTCCCTTACCCAGTTGGTAATTTGAACTGTGACAGTTTGTAGTGATGGATTATTGTTTCGGTTCCTTTATTGTTTTGCTTTTAGCATATTTATAACAATTTTTTGTAAGAGACAAGTTAACGATAGTTAGTAGCTCTTGGTATATTTATTGTATTGTTCTGGTGTACAGTTTTTTGATCGGGAGAAAATGTCTTCCTTTCATGCATATACTTCACTACCAAAAAATGCTACTACATAGATTCTGTTTTAACTGGTCTGTTTCAAAGATTAAATCAGCCATTGATGACGAACCTAAGTTAATTATGTCAAGTAGTTAATTGTTGACAGTAATTGCAGACACAGGGGAAGAGCAAGATGGCTAAAATTGTAATAATATTAACGATAATAATAATAATTGTAAAGGTTTGTGGGATAAGTTAGTGGAAGGTTGGTGTTTTTTACAGATAAGCCATACAGATAACTGAGGCAAAGAACCTAGGCTGTGTGAATTTCTTCTGAACACACAAAGTCAGGTGGATTTCGACGGCTTCTGTTGTATGTAAAAGACGAGGTTGTAGAGCTTAGGTGAGATTAGAAGGAGTATGATAAATATCTTAAAAGGCGACCGGTGTTGACCAAATGAAAGCGTATTGAGTTCCGGATCCGTCTTGTTTGCTCTTTACTTAATCATAACGGATGATGTTTGTCAATTCGATGATGGACTTGCCTATCTGTGCGCTCAATGTAACTAGCTCCATAGCAGCATTTTAAATACTCTAAGAGTTCGTCTTTTAAATATTTATTCTTTCAAATTGTTCATTTTCTAAATGTCCAAATGATAAGTTTCACATTACAGATATGTCTGACTGTGTTGTTCACTGAGCACTGACTTCTATTATTCTTTAGACAAAACTAGATTTTTAAATAAGAATGAAAGTGTGTGACAAGTAAATGCAAATACCATACTGAAAGTAGTGTGAAACGCAGATTATTTTGGCATAGTTAAACAGCAAATCTTAAACGTTTCAATCCATTTAGCTGTATGACATTTTTGTGTGCTTTTCTTGCTATACCTGACACCTCTTATATCTTTGTCTGAAAAACCATAACACTGTAAGCTTATCTGATCTCTGTTAGTGGAGTTGTTGCTCACATAACTGAGTGAGTAGATTATCAGTCATGTGGTTTGTCTTGAATATTACAAATATGAGTTTTTTTCGCTTGTATAGCTATAGCTAGTTTATACCTCATTAATGAATATCACTTTCATTTAAACGTGGTTTCTACACTATGGAGTCACCGTTTAGACTGAATACCAAAATAAAATACTGATATCTATTTTACTTACATTAGTTTCTTTTTATCTGCGAATTCTCCCCTTTATATATGTAAATAATCAGTCTACGGTAAAAGTTCA